TAGAGATGCTTGTTACAGCTTCACAGCATACAAGGGGTCCCCTGGAGACTAAAACTTACAAACTGGGGCTTTCTGCTGATCATTTAAGATTATCATTGACATTGTCCCTTGCAGCAGCTTTCAATCATACCCATCAGTCCTGTCACAGTCTTTGGATCAACATGACCCATCTGCGCAGCAGGACTTACATTTAGATGAGCAGTTTTAAATATATGATCTTCATTTAAGGGAAAGTATTCAAGAGGGGAAGCTCTGAGCAACATTAAATCTGCTCTAATACTTAGCACTTTCCCCGCTGGAAAAGAACATTGCTGTGGAAAAGGCCATCCTTAAAACTGATAATGCCTTCAAGGGAACAAAAGTTCAATGCAACATACCTTGGCTTTCTTGCACATCATCCCTTACAGCTTTCAAGGAAATGGGGGAACAAACAGAAAGCCTAAAGCTAGGCTGAAAAACAGGAGCAGGGAAATTCCTGTCTATCCCTTTCCCAAGCCCCACGGACGATGTTAAAGAGAGCCTGCTGAGAAAGCCCACTTGGGGTTCTGGCCTTGGGTTTCATCCTAAACCAACTTCTACTCCACTACAGAAGTTTAAAATAAAAGTGCCTCATGTTGGATTTACCTGGCATACAGCTGATGCTGCTGTAATGCTCCTCAAACAGCCTGCAGCAGAAAGCTTCCAAACCCTCGGGAAGACTGACAAAATCTTTTCTAGTTTTAAGCATTTATTCTTCACTGAATGGACAGATCGACGCATGTTGAATTGTGAAAAGTGCAGGAAACAAAAATTCATTCTTCATCTGCTGGGAAGGTGAAGGCCATTGCGTTGACATCATTCATACTCTACCCAAGGTTAACGCATGCCATATGGCTGATTCCATGTCAGTTATCACTAGTTGGCACATTACTTAAGATTAAAAATTAAATTGGAAAGGTACACTTGAAGAGTAAAACATAAGGAAGTGTATAACTGAAAGTAACAATGCTTCCCTGCAGTAAATCAACATGGAAATCTTACCTCTTGTACAAGAAATTGTTAATGAGAACTTAAATGCAGAGGAGAATCTTCCTGCCCTTCTATTGCCCCTAGATCTGGTAAATATCCTGCCAGTGATTTTCAGAAAAGAAAAACAAAAAGGATGTTTTTCTCTTGGCAAGAAGGAGGATGGCTCTGAACCACTACACCAAAAACTATCAGGGTTCAGCCTCCGCTACAGCACAGGCTTCTTCTCAGCCTCTCCCTCTCTCACCTCCCACTTCTATTGTTGTCCATCTCCTCTGCTTGGTCCCTGCTGGTAAACTCCTTGGGACAACCTCTAACAACAACATCAGAGCACAAATGGAAAGCAGCACTCTGCTCCAGGCCTCCAGAAGGCAGCGGGTTTCAAAGAGCATTTTCAGAGCAAGACAATTCATCCACGTTTCCAAAGGAACAGTTTCACCCTTACGCACAGAAGGAGTAACACGCTTCATTAATCCTCGGTGACTCCTGCACAACTCAAGTCCTTCACATGATTACACAAACAACCTTTCCCCCCCCCACCCCTTAAGGCAGGACAAGAGATAACGACGTTCTCCACTGCAACACCACAGCAGTACTGCTTGGGAAAAAGGTGGGGCTGAGGAGCTGGAAGCATCCCTAGTACTGCATGAACCATGCAGTTAATAACCTAAAATAGTATTTTTCCATTTACAAAGCACGCTGCAAGCGTTATCTCCATTAGTGAAGGACACCATGCAGGACGCTGAACTTGCTTTTCCAGCAGTAAAAGGATCTTTAGTGGCTTATTTTAATGGATCAAATAGAGCTGGCACAAGTTCATTGCCTGCACGAGCTAGCTGATGGTTGCGCAGTACCTAGTCACAGGTTTTTGCTCGAGTTGAAGTTTCATGGTACAAATGGTACCAACCACGCAATGCACTTGAGAACCGTGGACCAGACACCCAAAAATCACGGTACAGGCTTAGTGACAAGTGTTATACAAAACAGTAACTTCCTCTTTCTTCTCCTTGTAGCTTTTGAGTTTTAATAGTAGAAGTTCAGAGCTTCTCTGCCATCATGAACCAAAATGAGGCAGGATGAAAAATAAATTAGATTTGTATTTGGCCACAGTCATGCAACCCTGGGAAAAGGGGCTTTCAGAAAAGCATCTGCAGCTTAAGTGAGAGAGTAAAGTAGAAGCTGGCCATAGGAAATATCTGTATCTAAGACAACATACACCTAAAGTAAAAGTAAAATCCATCTACTTCAACTATTTTAAGTAGCAATCAGTCTTCTTCCTTGGACAGAGGGACATTCATTGACCTGCAGAGGGAAAGGCACAGTGCAACCCCCGAGGTGCGAATGCTCATGAATCAAAGGCAGGATTGAGAGGAAAAGGAAACAGGATCATTCTTTCAGCAGAAGAAAGTCCTCGACTGTCTTTTAGAACTGATCAAAGCTATATAACTTGATTTTCAACACCTAGAAACTCCCTATTTCTAAATGAATCATGTTTAATTATGATCTGTACAAACACCCTGCAAGTGAATCTGCCCGGGCAGCGTTGGGATGAAGAGAGCAGCGCCGTGATGAACAGAGCAGCGCCGGGATGAAGAGAGCAGCGCTGGGATGAAGAGAGCAGCGCCGGGATGAAGAGAGCAGCGCCATGGTGCAGAACTGCTGTCACGCCACAAGTGGCCCCGTTGCAACACGTAACCATGCCTCAAACACCCGACTGAGCAACAACTTTCACTTTCCCACAACGAGGCTTACACATGGAAAGTGAATTTCTGCAGGTCACCAATGTGTAAGCACGAGGCAGAAACTCTGTATCATGGCAGGAGAAAGAAGGGAAAAAAGCAGCAGACGGAACAGCATTGCTGCGTATGAAGATTACCACTGGCCACAATTTTCCATCTAAT